GTCAAGAAACCACTTCACATGTCTAATACCTATATTATGAGGGATAGAACTATAGAGCCCCTCAACATCTAGGCTACAGAGCTTTGCCTCTGTTGGTAGGGACATATACTTGAGTATGTTGAGGGTCTGTTTAGGATCCCTCAAGTATGAAGGAAGAGTCTTAACTATATCCTGTAGGATGAATTCCACATATTCGCTGCAATTCTGCGTGAGCTTATTCCTACCTGAAACAATTGGTCTCCCCGACAGTATTGCCTGTTGCTTATGAATTTTAGGTAACGCATAGAAGGTTGCCAGGGTGGGTTTTTTATTGAATAAAAATCTATATTCATCGGCAGTTATTAGCTTAGATTGGAGTGCCTCATCGAGGATAATCCGGAGTTCACTTAAGAATTTAAGTGTTGGGTCTGAGCTCAAAGTTGCATAGGTATTTTCGTCATCTAAAATTCTGTGTACCATTTGGATATAATCACTTCTGTTCATAACCTTCTGTTCATGCCCCCGATGCTTTGATGATAATGGACTCATTCCATTTTAGAGTTGCCAGTGCTTTTCTTTCAAGATGACTCAAATTGTCATTCTGCATGGGGACATATACTTCTTTGCTCATCTCCTCAAGCCTACAGGCTTACATTCAAATTTTTGAATTGTTTCAGATACTTAGGAGGGGACACACGTTATGTACTTTTTTGCTAAATAGCAATTTGAATGATGTTACAGTTCTAGTAGTTGCTCTGGCTTCTGGACTTCTGTATCCAGCAGCTTGAGTAGATTTTTGTAGAGAGGTCAAGTAGAATTAGTATGGGGCAGTGGCCTTTGGATTTAGCTGCGAATAGGCCGCTAGTAACTTAGATAAGAGGACGGAAGCCAGACTGAAGAGGGTCAAGGAGAGAGTTGGAATTGAGGAAGTGAGTCATATGGGCAAAGAAAAGTCTTTCCAGAAGCTTTGAGGAAAAAGGGAGCAGGGATATGGGATGATAATTAGAGGGAGAAGACGGGTCAAGAGATGTTTTTTTCAGGATAGGTACTACAGTGGCATGTTTAAGATCTGCAGGGACAAAGCCAGAAGAGAGAGAGCAGTTGAAGATGTGTGTTAAGGAAGGCCCAAGACAAGGGAAGAGAGATCTGACGAGGTGAGCTGGGACAGGATCGAGCGGGCAAGTGGTGGGGCAAGAGGAAAGGAGAAGCACAGGAGAGAAAGTCTGAAGGGT